TAGAGTTACAGACTGTTATGAATGGTTGTGGGCCACCCAGTGTGGCTGCTAGGAACCAAACTGGAGTCTTCTACAAAAGTAGTACATGTTCTTAATCACTAAGCCATATTTTCAGCCCTCCCCAGAAAAAGTTGTGTTGTTTTATTTTTTATTTTATTTTATTTTATTTTTTTAAATCTGCCTAAAGAGGGCTCAGCTCAGCAGGAAAAGCTCTTGCCACCAAGCCTAAGCTGAATCCCTGGAACCCAAATGATAGGACCAAATTTCATGTACACACACACACACACACACACACACTGACATACACAAGCACACATTTAAAATGTTTTTAAATTTTTGATACATTCAAAGACTAAAAGACAATAATATTGATACTGAGTCAAACTAAGGACTCTTTTCATCTGTTTTGTTTGTTTCTGTCTTTAATGACACTCACTATGCTGCCTAGGCCTACCACGGTTAGGCCACCACACCCAGCATATATAAACACTGTCAACGGTGAAACAAAAACAATGAACAATGTGTGAAACTGTCAAATAAAAACATGAAAAGTGTCAACCCATAACAAAGCTGTTGCTCTAAATAGGAAAAAGAATACCTAAACAAACAAATGAAAGTCTATTCTGGCCTGGCAGTGGTGGCACAGTCTTTTTCTTTAATTTTTTTAAAAAAGAAAACAAACTATCTTTTTTCATTTTATATATCAATCCCAGTTCTCACTCCCTCCTCTCCTCCTACTCCCTCCACCTCCCACCACCACGCCACCCATTTCTCAGAGGGTAAGGAACATTGCTTGGGGGAAGGTCCAAGGTCCTCCCTACTATATCTAGGATGAGCAAAGCATCCATCCAAAGAGAACGGGTTCCCAAAAAGCCAGTACAAGCAGGAGTGATAAATCCTGCTTTATAAAGTAGAACTTTAATATCTACTCAGAAGGCAGAGGTGTGCGGATCTCTGTGAGTTCAAGGCCAGCCTGATCTACAGAGCGAATTCTAGGATAGCCAGAGCTACACAGACAAACCCTATCTTGAAAAACCAAAGAAAAGCAGTTATTTTTACTCGGGTCATTCTAATTTATGTACTTATTTATTTATACACAGAGTTTGGAGCTCCAGGTTACATGGCCTACGTGGCTAAAGACGACCCTAAACTTATTATTATTATTATTATTATTATTATTATTATTATTATTATTATTTCACTTTGCGTGTGTGCATGTGTGTCCTCAGAGACCAGAAGACAACCTACAAGAGCCAGTTCTCCAAAGGCAGAGGTGGTGCACACCTTAATCCCAGCACTTGGGAAGCAGAAGCTGATGATCTCTGCTGGTCTACAGAGCAAGTTCCAGGACAGCCAGGGCTACTCAGAGAAACCCAGTCTCAAAAAAGAAAGGAAAGAGGGAAGGAGGGAAGGAAGGAAGGAAGGAAGGAAGGAGGGAGAGAGAGAGGGAGGGAGGGAGGGAGGGGAGGGGAGGGGAGAGAAATTTGATTCTCTCCAGTCATGTGGGTCCACGGATCTTACTCAGGGCATCAGGCCTGAGCTTAGGTGCCCTAACCCACCAAAACCTTGGAATGGCACTGGTTCTGAGTTCTGATCCTCCTGTGCGCTGGGATGACAAGACTTGCACCCCTGTGCCAGTTTTCTGGGGTTCTAGGGATCAAATCCAGGAATTCATGCATGGTAAGTAAGGTACTCCACCAACCCGGCTACACTCGCAGTCCCGTTTGGGGTCATTTTAGCACATAGGGTGCTGCTGCCTCCTCAGAAATAAAATCTTGATTAAAAAATGAACACACGGATAAGGAGGGAAAATCCAAAGAACAGGTTTTGAATGAAGACAAACCAACTCCTGAAGCTCAAGCTCTCAAACAGGCTTGTTTCAGACCTATCAGGAGGGGTCCGTTAAAGCCACTGCCAAGTGTCACAGAGGACCACCGAGAAGCAAATGGAGGCACTTGGGGGAGACGGAAACCTCCGAGTCCTAAGAAGTCCTACTCGTTCCACACATATCAAGTATTCCCACTCTACTCACCTTCGTTCTAGGTGAACAGAAACTATCTCAGCCAAGGAAGTTGAAGAGAGTCGGACACCCCACTCTCCACAACTCAACATGGTCCAAGGATCCGGGGGAGACAAAAACCCGCATTCACTAGATTCTAGTGACTTAAACCACTAACTCTCGTCCAAGTTCTCTTGATTTTCCGAGGTTGGCGCTGCGGGGAAATCACAGGACAAAGCAGGGAAGACGTAGGTGGCATCTCTCTCTTACCTTGATGGCTTTCTCCATGTCGCTATTCTCTGACATGCTCCGCAGGGCTCCCACAGTCTGGAGCGGCGGAGGCTGCGCGGCTGTCTGATCTCCTGGCAGCCGAGGAAGCAAAGGGTTTGGAGCGCGGGTTCCCGGACCTCGGGGACACGGGTAGTGCCCGCCACTGGGGACCGGAGGGGATGAGGGCCCGGGAGCCGGCTCGGCTTCCACAGGTGGCTCTAGGCTGGTGGCGGCGGTGGCGGCGGCAGCGGCGGTGGCCCCTGGGGACAAGCCTTTGTGCTGGGCCCCGCGCAGCCGCTTCCCGGCCTCATCCCCGGCCGGGGAGGTAGGCTCCCGGGGCAGGGCGAAACGAGGAGGAGCCCGACCTGTTGCGCCGTGCGGGGGTTTTACGGGGCCGCCGCTTAGGCCCGGGCTCGCCAGTTCCTGAGGAGGGGCCTGCCCCGCCACCGCCGCCGCCCGCACCGCCGCGAAGCCGAAGCCAAGCCCGCCGCCGCCGCTCCCACTGCTGCTTCAGCGCCACACATCGCCGGGACGCCCGCGCCGGGCAGCCTTGCCGGCCGCCCGGACGCGCCGAACCCTCTGCAATCCCGCGCCACCCATGCTGCTGCCCAGCTCCGCGACCCCAGAGCCCCACGCGCGCCTCGCCGGCGTCCTCTGGGCTTTCCGAGGCTCTCCGGGGACGCGCGGCTGATGTGCAGGCGTCCGCCGGGTCATCCCCGGAGCGCGCCGCATGCAGCAGAGGACCCCGGGCCTTCCGCAGTGGTGGCGCTGTGGTAATGGCGTAAGACGGTACGGTGGCCAGTCAGGACAAGGGAGCAGCGGGGCGCGTGTTGTGCGCCTGTGCTGGAAAAAGTTCGTGGAGACGGCCGTGGAGGCTGGCTAGGGAGCGGAACTTGGGACGTACCGAGACCTCGCTCTGTGGGAACCGACTGGATTGTGCTTGTCCTGTCACCTGTGAGGGCTCAGAGATGCAGCTGCCTGCTGTCACCTCAATATCCCGAGGAGTTCCCCTAGACTTCTCGGGGCCAAACGAGTTCGTGGCTTCCACGCTGCGAGTGTTAGGACTAGACAGATTATGAAGCGGAGTGGAAAGTTTTATTAAAGATTATTTACATGAGAGAGTTAAGAGGCATAGAAATGGGAGTATGCGCTTCCCAAGAGTAAATTTAGGAAAAGCAAGGAGTACCCAATCGTGGAGGGTTGTTAACTGTACTGTTTTGGTGGCTCAGGTTGCTGGAAGCCGGGCCTGGTGGCAAATGCCATTAATCCCATCAGAGGCAAGTGGATCTCCGAGTTCCAGGCCAGGTTACATGTCTCAAAGTCTGAGAAGGAGGGTTGCTGAAGAAATTCTCCCACCAACCCTGCTGCTCTTTTGATAGAAGACATAAGAACTGCCTCTGGAGATGCTTTGGATGAAATCATTAGTTAATAATATGAAACCAGGAGCCACGAGAGTTATACCAGGAATTTAGTACATGTTCTATAAAATGTCTGATACCGCTCAAAGGGACAGTCAGGGAGCAGAGAAGAGATGGGGAGCCTGAGCTTCAGCAGTCAGAACTGTGTTTATTGATTCACACAGCAGGGGGCAGACTCCTCCAGAAAGTTGAAAATGGTCTGCCAGAGGAAAAGGTACCTGCCCTAGCTCGGTAGAACCTCCAATGTTAGGATTATTTCTTAATATTAGCTCCCTGACGACACATAAATTCCCAATCAAGCCAAATCAAAACAAGCCAGATTAAGAAATATCCAGGTTTAATGGGAGATCTGCGCTTTCAGGTGGCCCAGAGGGGGAAACCGGGAAGCCACAGGAGGGGTTCAGGACCTGGCCTGTTGGGATTTGAGGTCCAAACCAGGCCTGGGGGCTGGAATAGATGCAAGGAACTGGGGCCTATGCTCCCAACCTAACACAAGTGGCTGACTCTTTTGCTTTCCAGACCTTCAGGATGATCCCCAATTTCTGTCTGAGTTTTTATTTGTCTTTTTTTCAGGCTGGGTTTCCCTGTAGTTTTAAAGCCTGTCCTGGAACTCGCTCTTATAGACCAGGCTGACTTCCAATCAAAGATCTTCCTGAGTCTTGAGTGCTAGGATTCAAAATATATCCCTCCACACATGGTTTTAAATTAGTTCATGTGTTTGTGGTGGGCTATATTATACCCATGGCTACTGTGGGGCCCATGTAGGTTGCTGCCCACACAAGTTCGGGAGAAATACACAGAGACAGAGACAATCAAGCCTTGCATGCTGCCTCCCAGCACTTGTGAGGCTGAGACAGACCATTGAGTTCAAGGCCAGCTAGGCTACAGAATTCCAGGTCACTAAACCAAGTCAGGTCTCCTAACACACACTATATCACAATATTTATGGAGTGGAGGTGGGGGGTGATTTTGAGTTTGGGCTTCTTGGAATCTTGTCTCCATTTCGGCTCTCTCCTCCTAGACAAAGGCAATCAGGTCAGTCTTGCCGGGAGTGGCACACTGCTTGCACTGGTGATTCAGCAGAGGCTGTGGGGATCGGTCAGCCATGGAGCACTCTGGACCAATAGAAGTGACAGACACAGACGCGGCGGGACCCCACCCTCAGATGGCCATCACCATGGGCTTCACAGCCTTCAGGAAGAAAGCACGCACATTTGACTTGGAGGCCGTATTTCAGCAAACTCGAAGGACAGCAGTAGAAAGAAGCTGGAAAACACTGGAAGCAAGAGAAAAGAGGAAGAAATGAACTGAGAAAAACATTAAAAAAAAAAAAAAAACAAGTGAAAGATGTCGAACTGGCACCATCCAGCTCAAGGCCATCATCCAGGGACACAAGCAGCAGAGACGGTGAAGACAGTTCTGATTCATCTGATGATGAGTTTTTTGGCCCTCCTCTACCCCCTAAAACGGTAAGAGGACCAGTTTGTACTGGGGATGAAGATATCCTTGGTCCTTTAGCTTCGCCTCTTGGTGAAGAAGAAGAAGATGATGATGATGAAGCAGAAGAGGAAAACCCTCACAGCTCACAGTGTCTGCCTCAAGGTCTAAGGATCTGAGTTCAGTCCTCAGAACCCACAGAAAGGTGAGCGAAAGGCTGGAGCGACAGCTCAGTAATTAGGTGAGCTTACTGCCCTTCCAGAGGACCCCAGGTCAGTTCCCAGCACCTGTACTGGGTGGCTCCTAAACCACCAATAACTCCAGCTACAGGGGATTTGTGGACGCCTCGCCTGGCTTCCTCGAACACTCATTTGCACGTGGCATACACTAACACATGCATATACATATTCATAAATCTCTTTTTTTGAGACAGGGTTTTACTGTGTAGCCTTGGCTATCCTGGAACTCACTCTGTAGACCAGGTCGGCCCTGAACTCTCAAAGAACCTTCTTCCTCTGCCTTCAGAGTGCTGGGATTAAAAGCAGGTGCCGCCACCATATAAATAAATCTTTAAAAATAAATAAAAGGCAGGAGAGATGGCCTAGTAGTTAGACTATTTGACAGTCTTACAGAGGACCTGGGTTTGGTCCCCAGCACCCGCAAGGCAGCCCACAACTATCTGTACTACATATGGTCTAGAGCTATCATGTGGTTGCTGGGAACTGAACCTGAACTCAGGAACTGTAGAAGAGCAGCCACTGCCCTTAACCTCTGAGACATATCTCCAGCCCAAGAACCCAGTTTCTATTCCAAAGACCCACATGGAGTCTCACAACTAACTGGAGGTATGAAGAAGGCACTGAATCCCGTGAGACTAGAGTTACAGACAAAGGCACCAGGCACATATGTGATGCTTAGATATATACAAAAGTGGGGCTGGAGAGCTGGCACAGTGGTTAAGAACACTGCTTACTCTCCCAGAGTTCCTGAATTCAACTCCCAGCCACCACATGGTGGTTCAACCCTCTGGACCCTCTTCTGGTGCAGGTATACATGCAGACAGAATACTGCATACTAAATCCTAAATAAATAAATCTTTAAAAATAAGAAAGAAATATATGCCTGGGGCTGGAGAGATGGCTCAGAAGTTAAGAGCATTGCCTGCTCTACCAAAGGTCCTGAGTTCAATTCCCAGCAACCACATGGTGGCTCACAACCATCTGTAATGGGGTCTGGCGCCCTCTTCTGGCCAGGAGACATACAGAATATTGTATACATAATAAAAAAATATTTAAAAAAAAAAAAGAAATATATGCCTGTATAACTATAGCACAGGCCTATCACCCCAGCACTCCAGAGAAGGAGGAAGGGGGATCACTGCAAGTCTGGGGTCAGCTAAAGGGAAATAGAGAGATTGCCTCAATACAAATATTAACAATGATAGCATTTCACTTCTATTTTAATAAAGAAAACTTGCTTGAAGATCAGAGAGTAAAACGGCCTCACTGGTCAGCCTTAAAGACCAGGCAGTGGTAACACACCCTTTTTTTTTTTTTTTTTTTTTTTTGACAAGGTTTCTCTGTAACTTTGGTGCCTGTTCTGGAACTAGCTCTTGTAGACCAAGCTGGCCTATGAACTCACAGAGACCTGCCTGCCTCTGCCTCCCGAGTGCTGGGATTAAAGGCGTGTGCCACCCAAATGCCCAGCTGGTAACACACACCTTTAATCCCAGTACTTACACTAGTTGCTATAGAAACCAGGTGGGGGCATGCATTAAATCTCGGTTTTAGAGAGGATATAAAAGGATAAAAAAGACAGCTCTCAGAGACAGTCTAATTCTGAGGTTCTTGGAGGAAGGATCGCCATTTCAGACTGAGGTAAAGGTAAGAGCCAGTTGTTAGGAATATTTCTTAATATTACCTCTTGACTATCAAGTCAAATCAAAACAAGCCAAAATAAGAAATATCCAGGTTGAATAGGAGATCTGCGCTCTTGGGTGGCCCCGAGGGGGGAAAACGGGGAAGCCGGACAAGACCCGCCCCGCGACGCTGTGGCTTGTGCTGGAAGAAGCAGAAGAATATGGCGCTCACCAGCATTTTACCGGCGCCCACGCAGCTATCTGAGGACCAACTTGAAGCTGAAGAAAGAGCAAGATCTCAGAGATCGCGGCAGACCTCTTTGGTCTCTTCACGAAGGGAGCCTCCCCCATACGGGTACCGGAAAGCCTGGATTCCGCGCTTGTTAGAGGATTTTGGAGATGGAGGTGCTTTCCCAGAAATCCATGTGGCCCAGTATCCCCTGGATATGGGGCGAAAGAAAAAGATGTCCAATGCGCTGGCCATACAGCTGGATCCTGAAGGGAAAATCAAATACGATGCAATCGCTCGACAGGGGCAGTCCAAAGACAAGGTCATTTACAGCAAATACACTGACCTGGTTCCAAAGGAGGTTATGAATGCAGTTGACCCAGACCTGCAAAGGCCTGATGAAGAAGCTATTAAGGAGATAACAGAGAAGACAAGAGTAGCCCTGGAGAAGTCCATATCGCAGAAGGTTGCTGCAGCCATGCCAGTTCGTGCAGCTCCTGCTCAGTATATCCGCTATACACCATCTCAACAAGGTGGAGCATTCAACTCTGGAGCGAAACAGAGAGTTATTCGGATGGTAGAAATGCAGAGAGATCCAATGGAGCCACCGAGATTCAAGATTAATAAGAAAATTCCTCGGGGACCACCGTCTCCTCCTGCACCTGTGATGCGTTCTCCTAGTCGGAAGATGACTGTAAAGGAACAGCAAGAGTGGAAGATCCCCCCGTGTGTTTCCAACTGGAAGAACGCAAAGGGTTATACAATTCCTCTGGAGAAGCGGCTGGCTGCTGATGGAAGAGGACTTCAGACCGTGCACATAAACGAAAATTTTGCCAAACTGGCTGAAGCTCTATACATCGCTGATCGGAAGGCTCGTGAAGCTGTGGAGATGCGAGCCCAAGTGGAGAGAAAGATGGCTCAGAAAGAAAAGGAGAGGCATGAAGAGAAACTTAGAGAACTGGCCCAGAAAGCCAGAGAGAGGAGAGCTGGGATCAAAACCCACGTGGAAAAAGAGGATGGAGAAGCATGCGAAAGGGATGGAATCCGTCGTGACAGGCGAAAAGAGAGACAGCATGACCGGAACCTTTCCAGGGCAGCCCCTGAGAAGAGGTCAAAACTACAGAGAAATGAGAATCGAGATATCAGTGAAGTCATTGCTCTTGGCGTGCCCAATCCTCCAACTTCCGATGAAGTTCAGTATGACCAGAGGCTCTTCAACCAAACCAAGGGCATGGACAGTGGATTTGCAGGTGGAGAAGATGAAATTTATAATGTTTATGATCAGGCCTGGAGAGGTGGTAAAGATATGGCTCAAAGCATCTACAGGCCTAGTAAAAATCTGGACAAGGATATGTATGGTGATGACCTAGAAACCAGGATAAAGACAAACAGATTTGTTCCTGATAAGGAGTTTTCCGGTTCAGACCGTAGACAGAGAAACCTAGAGGGACCAGTTCAGTTTGAGGAAGATCCTTTTGGTTTGGACAAATTTTTGGAAGAAGCCAAACAGCATGGTGGTTCTAAAAGACCTTCAGATAGCAGTCGCCCTAAGGAGCATGAGCACGAAGGCAAGAGGCGGAGGAAGGAGTAGATAGGATCCTCTCCTGAAAGCCAGTGGACTCTGTTCAGACTCTGATGATGTGATGCAGATCATTGGGAAACCCTTTGTAAGCCATCAGGATAAAAACCAAATCTGGGCGGGAGAGCCCAGAACTACGTTTTATTCCAGGAGATGGTGTGTGTGTGGGGGGGGGGGGG